ATAAAATATTTGTTTTATTTATTTACGTGTCCGCATATTAAAAAACAGTCACCGTAGTAGTAGTAGTAGTAGTAGTAGTAGTAGTAGTAGTAATAGTAATAGTAGTAGTAGTAATAGTAGTAGTAGTACTAGTAAAAGTAGTAGTAGTAGTAGTAGTAGTAGTAGTAGCAGGAGGAATAATAGTAGTAGTCGTCGTCGTAGTAGTAGCAGTAGGAGTAGTAGTATAGTGTGAAAGAAACGGTTGTACTTTTGAGCCGTATGACTCCATTCCATTGTTTCGGCATCCCCGGCTGCGGGCCTGCAATCTTCCACATTCTTCTGCTACAATCCAAGCTCAGTGTGTCAGGGGAGAGGGCTTCCGGGGGCTGTGGAATCCCGGGTTGCCAGCTTACAGGTTTCAGTTTAGGTTTGGGGGTTGAAGGTTTGGGATTTAGTGATTTAGTGCATTAGGGGAAGTCTTACCTTTTGTAGGCTTCAAGACTCAACGGGGTTGCGGGGTCAATGTGTTTGGCCAGACATGGCAGTTTCAGGTTTTGGCGTTGTCCTCTTGAGAGTCCGCTGCTAGGGATATATCCCTGCTTCTCATCAATGCACACTAGCAAGACCAACTGCCGGAACCACAACAGCAACATCAACCAATCAAATGCGAGCATCAAGAAGCCACTTCAATTTTTAGGTGAACTTGACCGAAACGAGCAGTGTCACTAAACAAAGGCAGCGCAGCAGCGACGAGTTTGCCACGTCTTTACGCCTTGACCTACCGAGGAGGGTGCGCGCAAAGAGGCTGCGATGCGATTTCTGGACCTGCTCGGAGTCCCCGGGAAGCACAGATGCACTGAATGGACGCTTTTCAAGCCAAAACCATAAGGAGCCTAGAATATACATGAAAGATGAAAGAGGATTCTTTGACGGATTTTGAAGAGATGTAAGTAAGGAACCTCTGCAAGCCTCACAGCCTTACAGTGTGCTCTCGACTCCCGACAGCACTACAGCAGACCAGTTCAACGTGTATACTTTGACTGCTTTGTAAGCGTGTAGTGTAGTTCAGTAGTCTTTGTAACTGTACGTAGGCAGACATACATCTTTATTCTGGCAACAATTGTGCTGATCGTTGTTTGCAGAATTCTGTCTTTGCCTAAACGCTCGAGCCAGAGCCGCCCCACATCCCACAAGCGACGTCCCCTCGCGTGGGCTGACTGTCAGTTGCCCCAGTGTCAGGGCAGGGTTGCTATGCCTGATGTGCTGCCTGCTCCTGCTAGCTGTTACATGCAACGAAACAGACAGAGAGGAACGAAGCTAAATTCGCGTGGGCTTGAGTTCCCAGACAGCGAAAAGCCACGTCCTCATGAGTTGATGAAGCAAAGAAGCTTTTCCAAATAAGTTCATGTCTTGCAAAGCCAGTGGAAACACTGAACTCGCACCAAAACTCTCCTTACCTGTGCTCTTGGCCAACAGCCTTGCTCTGAGGCACCGACGCTTGGCAGGCATCCGAGCTCTTCCCGCTACGCGCAGGCCTTCCTGGAGGCCCTTGAGATTTCAGATTGGGGTGAGGGATGGTGAGGGGTTTGGGTTTGGGGATTCCCTTATTCGGACTAGTCGAGGACTCAAGAGATTAGGGCCTTCAGGTGGCGTGGTGGGGGCGGCTGCTCGACGAATTTAGGTGTCCCGTTCCAGGGCATTGTAAAACATCGAGAAGCAGCCGGATTTCGGGATTGTCAAATGTTCAGCAGCCGCGAAGTTCTTCGCTGTCAGCATCGACAAGCTACCTACAAGAAACTCATTCGGATCCGGCACACGTCGAGTCTTGGCAAAGCCCGAGCCCGTCAGGTGGAATACTGCTACATTCGTGGGTTTGAGCTGTTCACAGGCGCCCTTGACGACTAAAGTCTCTGCAGGAACATGCATGCCCGACGAAGGACCTCCGGGACCTCGTGCACCCAACAAAGCCGTACTAGGTTTCACTGCTGTTGCGGCATGGACTGCAGAGCACCACTGACCTTTGCATCGCAGACTTGAGGAAGGATCGGAAGACATTCATGTATTTGTATATCTGCTTTGATTTGTTGTTGCACTTCCATATTTCTCTGTATGCTTTGTGAAACATTAATGCCTCCCGTTTTGTGGGGCCGTTCAGTCAACGGTAGTCTTGTGTGGTCACCGGAGAGGGACTCTGCCATGTAGGGTCGGAGAGGCCTGCCGGGACCTCTCGGGCCAGAATTTGTTAGGTGGGGTTGAAAAAGATCGGCCCACTGGGCTCTGGGCTTCCCACATAGAAGGTCTACTCATGCGAGAGTACGAGTACACGTACTACCCCGGAAAGCATGACACGATACCCTGACCTCGGTTGACCCGCACAAGTCGAGAGGTGTGGCAAATCCCAAGGCTCAACCTGCATGAACAGGCCTTTGCGCCTTTGTCCCTGCAGCTGCAACCTCCGGAAGCCTCGCGGCAGACTCCGGCTTTGCAATGGAAATGATTTGCTTTGTGAAATTATACGAGGCGTCAGAGTTGGGCGTCGGCTAAGCGAAGATTCTGTAAGTGAAGGCTTCTGGGGTGCGTTCCCATTGACTTGTGTGCACAAGGATTGGGAGCTACAGCAGACCAAACTTCCCGTAGAATAACGCAGTCCAACCAGGAGAGAAGCTATACGTAATATTTATTTACCGGTTCTTGCAAAAAGAAGATGCACCCCACATCCGAAACCCTACAGAGTCGCCTTCAAGGAGTCGGGTTCCGCCCCTGGGCATGCTCCCTGCCTGCTCCTGTCGCGAGGCCTTGGCAGTTTCGAGGAGTTTCGCGCTAAATGCAGGGTAGACGTGCCATGGGAGCAACATCGAAGATCATCTCGGATCCGGCGCTACGATGGCGACACGTTGCAAGTGAATGCCGATGGTTTGGGCCTCATAACTTCACATAGTATGCCATAATGCACGGCGGTAATGGTACCACCAAGACAAAGGGAACTAAGCTTTATACTTCTCAACAGAAACCCTCAGCACAAAGTCTGGCACGAATAGATTCCCAGTGTTTGGAAACTAATGTTGGTCCTGATCAGATATCTTCTCAGCCTGACTCAGGCGATTTTGGCCCATGCCGCCTTGCAGTGCACAGCTCAGTGGCCAAAGGAGCTGCTGTTGCTCGAGGTGGCCTGGTGTCCCTGCCTGGGTAGGATCCTATACAGTACCGATAATATGAACGACATTTCTTGAGAATCATAACTCAGTATCATAAACGTACTATCAAATAATTGTAATAGCTCCAGTCCATTGGCGCGCCGCAGGGCTCCGGGTGCTAGACCTTTTCAATTCAGTGTGGCACGATTCGATGTTGGCCGGGGGTTTTCGTAGGATAGGTTTGCGGGAGGACTGTTTTGTGAGCACCAGCCAAAGGCCAAAGACGTACAGTTTTTCAAGTTCTGGGCGCCCAGTGGAACGACAGGGTGCTGATGGCGGTACCAGGTTCTTTGACTGTTCCTTGTGAGGAGCATCTTACCGGAGCCAGTAAAGAGTGACCTTCTAGTCGAAAGGCTTTGCTGCCAGCACTGCGCAGCCTGGCAGGCGACGAAAGCGAGGTGCCTACATTCAAGATATAACCGAACACTGAAGTAGTCGTGATCTACCACTACCGCGGCCCGGTTGTCATCACCACTACCAACACGGCTACTGCTGTACCTGCTGCTGCTGCTCCCACTCCTCTCCTAGCCCTACTCTACGCACCAACTACTACTCCTACTACCATTACGACAACAGCAACAGCAGCAACAAGAAGCAACAAACAGCGGCAACAACAACACCAAAAGCAGCACCAGTGCACCAGCAGCACCAGCCCCGCCCCCACCCCCGCACCCGCACTCTCGCCCACCACCGCCACCTACAACAACAACAACAACAACAACAACAACAACAACGACAACGACGACGACGACAACGACAACGACAACAACCACAACCACAACCACAACCACAACAACAACAACAACAACAACTACTACTACTACTACTACTACACTTACTACTACACTTACTACTACACTTGCTACTACACTTAGTACTACACTTACTACTACTACTACTACTACTACTACTACTACTACTCCTGCTGCTCCTACTGCTGCTGCTGCTGCTGCTACTACTACTACTACTACTACTACTACCACTACCACTACGACCACTACCACTACCACCCAAGTAGTAGTAGTAGCAGTAGTCGTCGTCGTCGTCGTAATAGTCGTCGTAGTAGTAGTAGTAGTAGTCGTAGTAGTAGTAGTAGTAGTAGTAGTAGTAGTAGTAGTAGTAGTAGTGCATCAGAACTAGCAGTAGTCGTCGGCACCAATGCAACAGTAACTATTCCC